AATTTCTGAAGTGATTAAGCCTCACTCTTTCATAATTACTAGTTGTAGTTGTTGTTTACTCCTTACATTGTGGGTGTTTATTCTTCTACCTAATTCATTCCACTGATTTTCGATAGGATTCAAATCTGGAAATTTTGTTGTATGAAGTTGCTTAGCTATTTTAAATGTAAGCCATTCCTTGACACGTTTAGCTGTATGTTTTGGATCGTTATCTTGCTAAAAAGTAAATGACCTAGTAAACCCTCAATATGTAGGCACATTTAAAAAAATAATCCTCCAGATTATTTTTTAAAATGTTTAAATACACATTTTGATCCATATTTCCATCAATGAAAACCAAGTTATCTACACCAGAAGCACTCATACACCCCTACACTAAAACACTTCCTCCACCATGCTTCACCGTTGGACACAAGTTTTGTTTTTTAAATGCTTCATTTGGTTTTCTCCAAACTTTAACTCCTCCATCTGATGAAAACACATTAAATTTCGACTCATCGCTAAAAAGAACCATTTCCCAGAATGTCTGCGGTACGTTAATAAAAAGTTTTGCAAAATGTAGTCGTTTGGCTTTGTTGACTTTGCTAATGAAGGTCTTTTTCAATGGTACTCTACTATTGTATCCAGCTACTCTCCTATTGTATAGTACTCTACCATTGTATCCAAGGTTATTCTAACAGTTTCAGGGTCCACTTTTAAATTGTAATCATTTTGCAGCATACCAGCAAGTTTCGGAGCACTTATTTAAAATTTTGGATGACTGTTTTTAAAATAGCTCGTCGATGCAATACTTGAATTTTATTTGAACGTTCTGTTCGTAGCTTATCAGCAATTTTTTTGGTGGTTTGGTATTTCTTGATAATTGACTGCACAGTTGCACGTTGTTTCTTTACTATTTCTCCTATTTTTTGCTGTGATTTTCCCTCCTTCCATAGTCTAACAATAAGCGATCTAATTTCCTCTGCAACTCTCATTTTTTGTTAATAATCTAACACAAATAAAAAATATCAAAAATTCATACAGAGAAAAAATAATACAAAAATCTTACTAAATCTAATTTATATTTTTAAAATGTTACTTTAATACTGATTTAGTAACAAGTTGTGGTCGGAGTGCAGGGTGGATGAAAACTTTTTTTGCGCTATAACGGACATTATTTATTTTAAAATGTCGTATTTTATTTTTTTATTTATTATTTTGTAAAATCTTTTTATAGAATACTTTTTGAATGGTTAACTGATATAATTTAGTTAAAATTATACTTATAGTTAAATTATATTTAAATCTTTGCTGAATAAAAAGTTATCGCGTCTGAAAAATGTACATATTAGGTGGATGAAAACTTCTTTGACAGAGTGTACATCTACGCTAGAAGCTGAAGTTTGTTGGCTTCTTAATATTGTTTAATCTAAATATTCAACAAATTCTTCAGGTGATTCTGGTAAATTATTTAGTTAAATGTTTCCAGATAGTCATTGCTAAGTTGTTTCAATGTAAACCCACCAATGCCAGTTATGTTGAAATACTCGGATTAACTTACTTTTTAAAAAACGAGTTGCTCACTTCCCTATCTAATACATCATATTACGCTGTTACAAAAGGAAATCGAGGATTTGTACAATATAGAAAAAAGATGATTCACGAAAATTCACTGCTAAATCTTAAAAGCATATTGTTTTTAAAATTATTAGCATTAAAAGTTTCCTTTCAAATAAAAAATAGTTCCTTGTTAACTTTTATTTGAATTTACATTTAGTTATGCAGTGCTGGTAGCTATATTTAAGTAGCTTAAATATATTTCTTTATTCTACATTTGATTTCTAAATTAATTTACATTTAGTAGCGTATTTTGTGTTATCTTTGGGCTATCTATAAAAAAGTCTATAAAAACTTTTTAAATTGTAGGTCCTAGAAATAATGAAGCAAAGATCCTGGTAAAAGGAAAAAAATTGTCCTGGATAATCCTGGAATTTCAAGAGTTTTATCTGGTGTAAACCCTGTTCAAAACAAAATTCCTTTGGATTATCTAAGGAGGGCCTTTGTCTAGATGCTTTTCTTTGTTAATTCAGAGATTATAGCAAGAAAATTTATATTTAAAGATATAGCACAACTAATATAATATTGAACAGTTATATAAATTTATATATAAATCAATAAAACTGCATCAGTCTTGCAAAGATTATCAGTAGTATAAATGTGCTTATATAAATATAATGATAAGCTACAGTATTGTGCAAATTGATTGCATGAAAAAAAAAAAAAAAATTAATTTATTGTTTTATTTTTTTTTTGTTTATTCTTTAGTTAGAAGTAAATTTTAAAAAAAGGCAAATGGGTATTTCAGACACCCTTTAGTATTTAAGCAAAAAACACTTATACAAAACAAGTATTGTTGAAAACCCTTACCAATACCATTACCAAATCTCAACCTTGAAAGTTAGGCTTACGCTCTGGGTTTGGTTTGAGTTCCTTGAATGTTACCGCAGGGCCTCATGTGGTGCCCTACACTATTAATGCAATTATTAATCAATAATACAAAATGCGTTCATTGATTTCACTACCATTATACATTTTTATTATCCAAAAGATAGTATCGTATAACTATATCTGTGACACCAAAAGCATCATTAATATGGGCAATCAGAAGGTTGTTACAGGTTACATAAAATGCCTTAGATATGTACAGAAACCGGTGGTAAAAGCACCAAGAACAACAGCAAATTATTGCTTAACTTATAGATCTTATTTTTGACCAACTATAATAATATAATTAACACCGAAATAAATAGTTAAACAATAAATCATATAATGTTTTATATAAATAATTTTATTTTCTTGTATTATTTGTTTTTAATTATATAGACTATTGTATAAAACGTTTAATGTCAATGTTACTTACTATATATTAATATATAGAATAATTCTTTAGAATCCAATAAATAAGCTGAGATGTCGTCAGGTATTTCAATAATTACTCTCTTTTGTTACCTACCACATCATTTATTTAAAGTACATCAATTGTTAAAAGTAATCTAGTTCTAATTTTGTTAAAGAAGAATCAGAACAGACTCGATCAAGATTATGTGGATCAAAGAAAGTATAAAATTTCCTATTCACAGTATTTTAAAGATATAACTTTATTATGTATTATTTATTTGTAATTACATTTTGTACTTAAAATAATATTTTTATAATTATTGTTATAACCTTTTAGAATCGAAGAAAAGGGAAGAGGATTTGTCGTCAGGTAAAAAAAAAAAACTAATAAATAATTACTCTCATTTGTTACTTATTAAATCATTCATTTCAAGTACATTAATTGTTAAAACTAATTTTGTTATAGAAGGGTGTGAGCCGACTCGATCAAGATCATGTAGATCAAAAAAATATATAAATTTTCCTATTCACAGTATTTTTAAGATATTTCTTTATGATGTATCATCATTTTGTAATTTGCTACTTAAAATATTGCTTTTATAGTTATTGTTATAACTTTTGTGAGTCTAAGAAAAGGGAAGAGGATTTGTCAGGTGTAAAAAAGCAAAAGAATAATTATTCACTTTTGTTACTTATCAAATCATTCATTTTAAAAACATCAATTATTACAAGTAATCTATTTTTGATTTTGTTATAGAAGATTCAGACCAATCAAGTTTGAGATCACGCGGATCAATGACAAGTATAAATTATTGGGAGATAAAATATTGTTATGCAAAAAAGCTAAATGCTTTAAAGTTTTACTTAAAAAAAGTTTGCTTAAAATGCAGACTGTTAGTTTTTAGTAAAAAATAGCATTTATTCTTAAATAATAAGTTTCTATTATTCCATTTTTAGGGATGGGAACAGCGTTGCCAGATTTTTTTTGCGCTAAAATGCCAAATGCTTGTCTAAAAAATGCCAAATAATGCCAAATTTTTATTAAAAATGCCAAAAAAAATTCCAACTTTTAAAATAGCAGAAAAACTTTATAAAAAAACATTGAACCTTATTTATTAACTTTATATTCAATAAAACTATTTTAAAAGTCTTATATTAATCAGTTTTAACATATTTTTTATATATTTTTCAATAAAAAAAACGACGTTTTAGCGTTTGATATAGGGAGAACAAGACAAGTTAGGCAATAGTCTGCTAGTTCCTTAAATGCTGCATCTCCTGATGTATTTTTGTAGTGGCGAACTGCAGTCCAGAACTCAGTTGTATATTTTGGTATACAAGAATTTTCAAACAGCTCCGTAGAAGACCAGTCAACCAAACTTACTTTTCTGTACTGATCTTCAATGTTTTGCGCTTTATCCTTCATAATATGCCTTAAAGGCAGATGAGTGAATGGCATTTTAGAACTTTGATGCAGAACCTTTGATGGTGAGAGATAAGATAGACCTTGAAAAATATCTTTGTTTTCAGGTAGACGTTGATCAAGCTCTTTCAAAAGACCCAAAAGAAATTGAAGACAACGTGTTAGAACACTTTCAATGTTTTTTCTGGCTATTTCTTTTTGGGTTTGAGGATAAGTATCAATATATTTTTGGCAATCTGATAAAAACTTTGCCCCAAAGTCAACACGTTTTAGAGGCAGTTGAACTCCTTGGTTGTCAAGAACACGCTGTTGTAGACTTTTGTAGTGTAGGTTTAGCTCTGAAACTAGCTTCACAGGATCCACATTAGTGCTTTGAAAAAGAGCATTCCAACGCTCAAATTCTTGAACAGTTGGTGTCAAAAAGACGACATAAAGATAGAGTTTCATCTTTGAACATGTTGTTAATTGTTGTAACTCTATACCTAATGCAAGCAGGAGCTTGAGCTTCAGCACATAAGAAATAGGCTTTTAATTCGTACTAATTCACCATCAAATTGTAAAGACATTTCCCTCTGACAAGCCATCGAGTAGCTGAATACTTTTGAAATGGTGATGGAGTTCCCATCCTTTCATTGCTTGGATCCATTGTCTGAAAAAGTACTTTAAACTCTTCTCGTCGAATGAAACTTTTTGAAAAAAATTAAGGAATTTCACTAAGCAGAAAGCCAACACTTGATGGCATTAATTCAAAGGAATGTTGAACAATGAGGTTTATGTAGTGGCATGTACAGCGCATTAAAATACAATTAGGAGAGACTGCCCGAACACGAGACCAAACCGAATTGTGAAATCCAATGACATTTGAAGCTCCGTCTGAGCTATACCCAATGCAGTTTTTTAAAGACAATCCAACAGACGTCAACTTTGTTTCCAAAACAGCAAAAAGATCTGCACCAGTGGTTGATATCACAGCAGCTAAACCAAGAAAGTCATCGATAACTGATTTCTGTTCATCTGAATAGTATCGAGCACAAATGCAAAGATGTTTTGTCAAAGAAACATCAGTTGATTCATCAATCAGGATGGAAAAAGGTTTATCTGCCATTGATTCAGAAATTTCTGATTCGATTGATGAAGAAATTACATTTTAATAATTTGGGTACATTTGGTTCGATGCAGACGAAGGTTTTCAAGGGGACTATTATTTCCATAAAGAGAAATGATTTCTCCAAGGTGATTTATCGTTGAAATGGGTGCATGACAACACACGCAAAGAGCAAGATGAATATCTGCTTCTCAGTCTGCTTTCTTTGATACTAAAGGAAACGTAATCTGGCTTTTTGTGTTAAGGTGCTTTTCTCTTGAAGCATGTCTAAAAGTACCACTGTGCGTTCTACAGACGATTTCCGTGGTTCTATAGTCACACGACAAAGGGTACAGAATGCTGATTCAGTACCATCAGAGCTTTTTTTAAGCCAAGGATAATCCGCTTCCCATTTTTCAAGGTACTTTCTTGAATTTACCCTCGACATTGTGCTTAATGTTCTAATACAAATTAAATACAAACCAACTGAAAAAAAAATTAATTCAACAGTTTTTTTAAAAATGCCAAAATAATGCCAAAAAATGCCAACATGTTAAAATAATGCCAATTTTACTAAATTTGGCATTAAAAAATGCCAGTTGGCAACACTGGATGGGAAGAGTAAGAACAGGCGGCAGAGGTCGGGTTAGGTGGCGTAGTTATAAAAATTTCAATTTATTTAAACTTTAAATAATTGTAAATAAATGTTTAGTTTTTCTTGTTGTTTAAAAACGACAATTTTTTTAATTTTTTAAGTGACAACGGATCTCTAATACACTGAATTGACATTTACTAAATTAACATTAACAAAAACGGATCTCAACTTCACTGTACAGTCATTAACTAAACGCTAATAAAACATTTTTTGCATTCGTTTATTAAATTAATCTAATTTAAATGTCATAAGTTAACTAAATTAATCTATTTTAATGTCTTGCTTGGCTTCAAAGTACAAGTCCGATTTGGTATCTACTTTTGACTGGAAAAAAAAGTCTTATATCCTAATGTAAATTAACATTTATTCTTTTTAAATTGAAATTAAAACTTTTATATGCTAATACACGCATTTGCATAGTTTAGATTACATAACTTTCACGTATACTCCAAACAAGCGAAGAACCGGAAAACCATACATTAGAAATGCATAGAGCATAAAAACCTTTTTGACTCGGTTTATAAAGTTCTTTGAACCAGGGGTTATCTTTTTAACTATATAACTTAGCTAAAAGCGAAATTTAAAAGAAAAAAAGAGAAAACAATTCCGTATTTTTCCCGAATAATTTGTTCTAATAATTTTTCAGATTTTTAAATTATAACTGGGATAATCTATTTTGAACAGAATAGGCGAAAAATTCAATTAGAGCTCATTTAAAATAATTCAATTAGATTACTAAATTCAATTAACTTGGACTCTATCTTTATTTGTAAATCTGATTCATATCTAAACAATAACAATAGCGATATTAAAATTTCAAGGTTGTAAATTCTAAACTTAAAGGTAGCATATAGTCAGAATTAAAATGTAAACGTTTCTTAAAAGTAAGTTTTCGAAAAAAAACCAAACCACTGAGAATTATTCCAATAATTCTCAGTGGTTTGTATTATTGACCATTTCTCAATTGGTTTTATTATTGACCATTTCTCAATGGTCAATAATAAAACCAATTCGCAAAAAAAAAAATTTCTTTGAAAAATTTCCGAATTAATGTCCACCTTAAGATTTTTTTGAATTAGACAAGGAATTTTTTAACTACGTTTTACGAACTGAAATTATTATTAAAGTTAAATGAGAAAAAAATTAACCTAGAGTAATGCAGCTTCAAGTCTAATCTAGGTTTAATTAGATTTTAATAAAAACAAACATTTAAACGTCGTTTATTAATTATGCTAAATAGAAATATCAATAAAATTTTAGGCACCTCTAGTTCTCTTTAACATTATCGCTTTGTATAATTTATTAACTGCTGATTCAAACAATTATAAGTGGAAAAAAAACAGGAAGCTCATGATGACGATAATGATAAAAAAAAACAGGCTCTATAAAATTTCGAAAGAGTTAGTGTTTGTAGGTATGCCCTACTCCTTGTAATTAAAGGACACCATAAACAAGAGCCACGAATTTAAAACATCAATACTTAAAAACAAATTTTCTCTTAAAAAATATAAGTTATTGGGAATGTAACTTCAAAGCCAAATATTCTAAAATTTGAGTTTTGCGGTAAAATTGAAAAAAGATTCGGGCATTTGCTGAAAACGGACAATAAAAAAAATTTCTTAATTTTAAATGGTCAAACATAAACAGATTTAATAATAAAATTTTAATTGCAACATAAATTTACATTGTAATAGAAGCGCCTCAAGATTTAACTAGGTATATTGATTTAAAAGAATCTTTTTAAATAATATGAAATTAGGAATAGTTTTTAGTCAGCCTATATTAACACAGATTTTTTTTATTCGATTCGTAAAAAAATCTAAAAAATATAAAGACAATGTTTAAAATGTATTAAAAAATGTTTGTTTTGTAAATATTACAGTATCTTTAGATACTGTAATATTTTAGTACGTTGTAACTTTATTCATGTTTGTTACACTTTATTCATTAAACATTAAAACGTTGTTAGTGTACATTTCGTTTTCGTTAAGTATGTTAAGAGATTTAGGCGTATAACTTGAGATATTAAGCGTTATCATAGACAAATTTCTGAAAATAAAACTGCTACAATTACCAGTGATATTAAAAATATATGTGGCATAATCACCATTTGTTGCAATTGATTATGTAACAATTTTTTAATTATTTAAAGAAATATTGAACAATATAAAAGGTTAATGTTATTATGATTAAAACTTACAATGTATTAGTGACGACAATTGCTAGTATAGATTAGATAACCGTATATCCGGTATTACAGAACTTCACGTTTTTCCGGTAAAAATGATTTGCGGTTATCATTACCAAGCCATATGAATTTCTAATAACAACAACTGGATTGCTGGTCTCATTACCAAGCTATATGCATTTCCAGTAACAACAACTAGACTGCTGGTATCATTACCAAGCTATTTGGATTTCCAGTAGCATTAAATCTTTGTTAAATTTACCAACTAAATGCATTTCCAGTATCATTTGATTGTTGTTAACCGTTAATAAACTATATGCAAAAAGATAGCCAGTACCAACATCACTAGCATAAAATGAAGGATCAAAAGTGAACCTTCTTTTCTTTTCAGGTGTTTTTACCCTTGGTTTCTAAAGAAATACAATATTTTTTGTAATGTTTTGAACTCCAAGCTTTAAAATCTAAAAATTCAGTTGCATCTACAGTTTATTTCACCGTAAACTTTTGTGATCTGGCGCTGCTAATAATAAGCTCGGTGAGTTGATGCATGTGATAAAGAGGGTCATGTGTTTTTAAAACACATGAAATTATACCAAAGTCCCTATCGCAAGGGAGGAAACTATGCCCTCTTATTGGGAAGAACTGTTCAACTTTATCAAACCTACCACTGTCAGTTAAGTATAAACAAAAACGTGATGAGGTCTGATTTTTATTTTGTCCACTACAGTTGTCACAAAACAAACGTAATGTATTATACTTTGATGGAACTGAGATCAAATAATCATTTAAAAAAGTTGCAACTTCATTTGACCCTTTTCTTCCTTGACCTTCATGGTATATATATACATGACTTTTTTCTTCTTTAATGTTATGTATAGAAAAAATATTGACTGATAGCTGTCTCATATAATAAAGTTGTTGGACAGGTATTTTTAGCAAGCTTATCGTCTTCACAGAGTCAAATGCCAATGATAGAATGTGCTCCTCATTACGCCATTTTCTGATGTTTCATGTTTTAAAGCATTGAAAAATTTATTACTCCTGTGCTTATGAACATCTAAATCAGTCTGCGCTGCTCCTTTAGCTACATTATTGAGATGTGGTGATTTTAATCTAAGATTCAATTCTTCACACGTGCAACAAGTATCCACTTGTGGGCGCCCAAACCATAAGGTAAAATTAGTTTTAAAATGGTTCCAGTAAAAAGACTTGCTCACTTTTATTGAGGTAACTTGCATTGAGGTAATATACTTTTCTCCCTGAGTAATATGATTCCTTGAGTGGAAATGATCTTATGTGATTACTAACAATGTCATAAACATTCTGAGAAAGACAAATAGTAATACCTCTACCTCATTTATCTTCAGGGTTTATTCCAACCTTAAGGTTCCTTATTCTCCATAATCGTTTTTCACTAATACTTAAGACTGATAAAAGTGCACTGCAACGTATTTCTATGCGTACATTGCCTACAATCACATTATAGGAGAAGCTATTTGACTGCTTCGGGTTTTCAAGATCCTTTTGATGTGGCACTCTTCTTTTAACTTTAGTGACATCTATTAATCCTTGAATATAAAAATCTTGTTTTTCTTTGCTTTTTATATCATAAAATTTGGAAAAGATATCCACACAGTTAGCCTCTAAAGTTCTCCAAACACTTTTTTTTGCACCTTAAAAAAGAAATGAGAAAAATTAATGTAAAATTAATGCAAGCTAGAAAACGTTTTTATTAAAATACACTGCATTATTTATAATCTTAAACAGAGAACATTGCCACAAAAGTTGTGGGGAAATAGACTAAATCATATTAGGAGTTTTTGTCTTTTTAGTGCTTCCACCTATGTTATAATGTCAATTACTATATAGGTCTAGGCTTGCTATAACAAGATTTAACTATTCAGTGTATATTAACTATCCGGAAAAAAAATCATAAGACTTAGCCAATTGCATATTAAACTATTATGCAAGAAAGGTTTAATATGTAATATCTGTAAATTATTTACTTATGTAACAGATATACCCATAATCTAAGTGCTATAGCTGGTTTAGACTTAGGGTTAGGTTTTAGGGTTAAAATATTATGAAGTATATTATTTCATAAATTTTAAACATATAAACATATATTATATCTAAAGTATTTTAAACTCATGCTTTTATGAAATAAGATTAATGTTT